AAAAAAAAAAAAAAAAAAAAAAAAAAAACCTAATAAAATTAATTGATTCTTATTATCCAGATATTGTGAAACACATCTGCAGTCCCAGCAATCTAGAAAGCCAAGGCCGGAGGATCACAAAATCAAGCCCATACTAGATAATTTAGTTGTTTAGCAAAACCCTGTCTCAAAAACTAAAAAAGGATTAGGGATGTAGCTCAGTGTGAAAGCCCTGGTTCAATCCCTAGTACTGCAAAAATAAATACGCAACAAAAATTTAAAATAGAAGGATTGAGAATGTAGCTCAGATTGAACAGGCCTGTTCAATCCCCACATTGTCTTCCCCACCTCTCCCCAAAAATCCTACAGCTGAGCAAAATCCCAGCAACTTGGGAGGCTGAGTCAGGTGGATCACAAGTATGTGACCAGCCTGGGCAATTTAATGAGACCCTATTTCAAAATATAAATAAAAAAGGACAGGAGATGTAGCTCATTAGTAGAGCACTTGTGTATCTTGTGTTTGGTCCTGGGTTCTATTCCCAGAACAAAAAATAAAAAATCAACCAAACAAAAAAGCTTGCCAAATAAAGTCTAAATGAAATTTAACAAGACTTGAAGTGATCACTGAGGAATCAGCAATACTTTGTTTAAAATATAACAGCATACCAGGGAGATGGCTCAGTGGAATGAGCACTTCCCTGGCAAGCGCAAGGGCCTGAGTTCAAATCCCTAGTTCCGCAAAACAAAAATAAATAAATTAATTAAATATAACAACACCAGTAAGCCAATGAAACTATTACATGTCTACCTTTCATAGGACACAATAGCTTCATGTGTGTCAAATTAAAAGCTACGTAATTATGCTGGCTAGAACTACCAGTGGCCCACATACAACTACCTCATCATGCTACTTGTACCACTGATGGTACAAAGGTACCAAAGAAAGCACATGATTGGGAGCAAGGTTTAAAATGTTCTAGTCACTGTGATATAACAGCTCTGAACTTTAAAAAAAAAATGATTTATGTTTAATACATGTTTTAAAGTAAAGATAAAAACTCTTCAGTTTAAAAAAAAACAGAAAATAAATAAAAAATTAAATTAAATTAAATTAAAAAGCTATGTAAGTTTCAAAATTGCGGGGGATAGCCAGGCATGGTGGTATATGCCTGGAATCCCAGCACTTGGGAGGCTAAGGCAGGAGGCCTGCCATGAGCTCCAGGCCAGCCTCAGGAGGATTGCCATGAGCTCAAAGACAGCCTGAACTATGTAGCAAGACCCCATCTCAAACAAACAAAAACTAAAGTGGATAGGAAACTCAGAACCCAAGAATGTGTTTTTGACATTGTCACTTTACAAAAAAACTTTTTATACTAGATAGGCAAGCTATATGCTTGGTTAAAAACTTCAAATACAGTTGAAAGGACTATAAAAAGAAAAGCAAATCTTTCCTCTCGTTTTTCCTCCCCAGTCTCTTGTCATCAGGCAATCACTGTAATGAGGTGGTGTAGTCTCCCACGGACGCTACATGGGGACACAAAATTGTTTACATGCATAGAATTCATTTTTGGGAAGAAGGGTCCATAGCTTTTAATAGTTTCTCAAAAAGGTTCATTTTGGGCCAGGGAGGTAGCTCAGTAGAATAAGCACTTGCCTGGCGAGTGCAAGGGCCTGAGTTCAATCCCTGGTTCCACAAAAAAAAAAAAAAAAAAAAAGAAGGGGGGGGGTTCATTTTCTCAAAAAAGTTAAAAATCATCATTCTAGATTCTAGAGGAAGGCAGAGTTTGTACTCTTATCCCAATCTATTGGTAGAATTAGCAGAATTGCAACCTGCCCTGTGCCTATTACTTTTTTTTTTTTTTTTTTTTTTTTTTTTTTTTTTGTACAATTTCAGACAACAAAAATGCTTTAGGAAGCAATGTTGGTTAAAATCCAGACATGGTTATAAAATACCACATCTGTTTGTAAATAACTTCCTGATTTTTATTTCTGTCTCAAACAATCCCTGCAAAGAATAGTTCCTTCTGTTACTATATTCACTGACAAACAATAAAAATGTAGGAAATTTCTGACATGTGAGTATACACAGAGACATCAGGCATTTTTCTCTCACAGCTAGATGCATTTCTATTGGGATAAAGGGAAGATTTTACTAATATCTACATGGAACTGAAGGGCAAAATTAACTTAGTACTCCTGGCTAAGGATCTTAAGAGAAGAACCATATCCTTTAAGATATATATTAATCTTGTCTCATAATCTCACTTGGATGTTAGTGCTTAACATGTTCTTAAGTGTTATCATTGAGATTTTAATATAAAATTATTATCCTATTTTTTTTAATTTTTTTTACATTTATTTATTTGTGTGTGTGTGTGTGTGTGTGTGTGTGTGTGTGTGTGGCCAGCTCAGCCCACCTGGGGGCGGGGCTGGCTGACATGTGGTGCTGGGGGATTGAACCGCGGTCCCTGTGCTTTGCCAAGCCTGTTCTAAGTAGGTGCTTTAGACCACTGAGCCATCTCTCCAGCCCCTAAAATTATTATCCTATTGCAGATACATCCATCAACAGAGAACATAAGGAAAATAGATATATACAGAGTGCAGTGCTATTCTGCCATAAAGATAAAAGTTTAGGCATTTGAGGGGCCGGGGAGATGGCTCAGTAGATTAAGCGCTTCCCTGGCAAGTGCAAGGGCCTGAGTTCAATCCCTGGTTCTGATGAAAGAAAAAAAACAAAACAAACTTTAGATATTTGTAGGTAAATGGATGCAACTTGAGAACATACCATTAAGTGAGATAAATTTGGGACCAGGGAGATGGTTCAGTGGAATAAGTGCTTCCCTGGCAAGCACAAAGGCCTGAGTTCAATCCGTGGTTCTGCCGAAAAAAAAAAAGATAAATTAGGCATACCATCTTAGATACCAAGGTGATTTCTCTTATATGAGATTATATGTATATACAAATAGACACATGTAGAAATGAAGAGAGGAAGCAAAAAAGATAAATAGGAAACAAAGAGTTGAAATAATTCCCTAAATTACCTACTTTGCTATTTCAAAAAATATCTTGTTTTTATATTTTTATCTATTCTTTTTTTTCTGTATTTAGGACAGGGTCTCACTACACAGATTGGACTCGTAGTGATCCTGCTGTTTTCAGCTTCCCAAGTGCTAGGATTACAGGCACGCACCACTATGCCCAGTCTCAATGTCATCTCAGTGCGTCCTAAAGGCGGGGCCAGTAAGGCATGCCAGGGATTGAACTCCAGTCCTTGAGTCTACCTAAGCAGGCGCTTTAATTCACTGAGCTATCTGGTGGGCCCTGAAATTTTATTTTTAATTAAATAAAAAATTTAGAGGCCGGAGATATAGCTCAGCAGCTTAAATGTCTGCTTGACAAGTACAAGGTCCTGCGTTCAATCCCCAGTACCACAAAAAATAAAAATAATAATTTTAAACCGAAAATCATTTAAACACAAAAAGGAAAGTTTTGTGCTGTTATGTTTCTTTTATCTAACAGAGAATCTTTTATGTCTACATCAAAGTCTAGTACTTTGATGGTGATACACAGTATATGAAATATTCTTATTTTCTTATTTTGTTATGAAGTTTTATTCACCCATAAATTTTTTTTCTTTTTCTTTTTTTTGGTGGCACCAGGGATTGAACTCAGGGCCCTGTGCTTGCCAGGCAAGCACTTATTCTACTGAACCATCTCCCCAGCCCCTCCCATAAAAATTTTTAAAATTCTTACATTTCTAACGCACCTTGAGACCATAATGTTTTTGTTTTTGTTTTGTATTTAAAGGAAAGATCTACAGGGTGTTCAGGGGCTCACTACTAGATGGGACTCATAGTGATCCACCTGTTTACAGCTTCCCAAGAGCTGGGATTTCAGGCATGCACCACCACGTCCAGGCCCAGTCTCAACTGCCGTCTCAGTGCATGAGGGCGGGGGGTGGGGGTTGGGGGGGTATGGCAGTCCCGGGTATCAAACCCCGGCCCCTGCGCCTGTTTGCAGGCACTTTAATCCGTGGAGCTCTTTGGCCGGCCTGAGACCATAATATTAAGTAAATCAGACACACTTGTTTGTATATCACATGGTTTCTCTTACATGAGAAACCCAAAATATAAAGAGCAAAACAGAGATGATAGGAAGTAGGGAGATCAGTTCTTATAAAAAAAAACATGGAACATTTCACGAATTTGCAGGTCCTCCTTGCGCAAGGGCCATGCTAACGTCCTGTGTATCATTCCAACTGTAGTATACGTGCTGCCAAAGCGAGCATGGGAGATAGATTTTGTACAAAAGCAAAGGGGACCAAAAGATTGAGAGTGGAGAGAAGAGATGAAACGGGGGGTTTATATATGTTATGTACATGAACCAACACTCCACAAGGAATGTGATCATTACGCACAGCAAACATGTATGTGACAGTTAACTGTGTCAACTTGGATAAGAAATGAGGACTACATTGGATCAACATCGATCTGGGTGTGGCTGGAGGGATTTATTGAAGAGGGACAATCAATCCTCCAGGGTAGGCTCGTGCCTGAATGGAATGAAAGGAGAACGAAGGAAGTCTGGTTTCTATTTCGTGGCAGGAGCTCCAGTTTTCCTCGTCACCTTGGGCTTCCTCTTCTGGCTCCCAGTGCACCGTGCAGCCTCCTAAGACAGACTTGCTGGGGACTACAGCAAGCTCCAGGCCTTTGACCTTCACTCGGCTCCTTCGTCTCTCCAGCAGGCAGACAGCCCTTCTGCACTCTTCCAAACCTGACTCTGCCATTGGCCATTTTTAAACTCCCTTGTAAATCCTCACATTTATACATCTTGCATCTGTTTCTCTAGTGAGTACATACAATACTCACTGATTGAATGATACAATATATCAATAAAAAATAAAACTTGAACAAACAAAATTATTAGTTTCTTCAAATACATAAGGGATAACTGAACTGTCCTACTTTCTCATTTTTTGGTACAGTTGTCTTGCCTGGATCCCATGCAGCACACTTTTTACTCTTCCCTTCCAAAGCATATTTTATATACATAAAAAATAAGTCCTCTATCTATAATCAACTCACAAGAACACAGTCAGACCTAAGTCCTTTTATTTATTTTTGTTCTGTTAATATCTGGAATTTTATTCTAAGTACTGGGCTGTTTACTATTCATTTAAAGCACTGGAGAAGTCTGACTGTTGTTGCTGGCAGGGCTGGATGTGAGTGAGTGTGCTACAGTGTCAGGTCAGGAGCTGAGAACAGGTTCAGAAGGCTTGCAAAATCTGGAGGGTCTCCTTGCTCATGTGTCTTGCCAACTACTCCTTTTTCTCATAGGCGCTTGAAGATAACTTTTTTTTTCTTTGAAGGTAACTTTTGATTGGAAAAAATTAAAGTCTAAAAATGTACTATTTGACTGCTTAGGCAGGCGCAGGGACCATGGTTTGATCCCTGGTCCCCTTGGGGCGCACTGACACTGGGTGTGCTGGCGCCCACCTGTAATCCCAGCACTTTGGAGGCTGAAAACAGGAGGATCACTATGACTCCGATCTGTGTAGTGAGATCCTGTAGACGCTGTACTAACCACATAAAAAAAAAGTACTGATTTGAAATACTAGGTATTAATCTTTGCTCCAACACTATAAGACTTGGATCTTAATAAATATTTCCAGAATGAAGAATGCTTTATACTTGTCCTTAATGTTCACTACACTTCACCTGATAAGCATTCTTGATATCAGAATTGATTTTGTCATTATTCTTTGATTTACTTGTTTGTTTTGGAGCATGTAGTCCAGGCTGGTCTCAAACTTTTGACAATCCTCCCAAGTACTGGGATTATAGGCATGGACCCTCACACCAGGCTAAAATCAAAACTATTAAAATACATTATCTTGCCAGTCCTAGGCCAGGTCCGGTGAGTGTGTGGAGAGCTTCCTGCTACCCTGCGCCAGCGGGACCAGTCCCAGCCCAGGCGCAGCATGGGCCGGACCCTCTCCCACCCCCTTGGGCCGGCCCCCACCACTCCACCTTACCTCCCCCACTCCTCCCGCCGAGTAGGAATTTCTGCCGAGTTCCAGGAACCCCCAGACCCAGTCCTAGCCCAGGTACGCAGCGGGAAGGAGCTGAGCACAGCAGCCAGACCTGAGCCAGAC